GCCCTGAAAAATAGAGCTGATGGGAAGGTACAGTTCATCAAGAAAAGGAAATTCTCCCCCTTCTCTTCAGTATTTTCTGAAAACCAGGCCATTACACTGAAGAGCCTTATTTGCCGATTTAGTGGGAAACATGCCTAAACCAGGAAAGAAGAAAAATTCCATGGGAATCAGCTTCCAACTCAAACAGTTTCTGTAGGTCTGTGTTTGAAATCTTCCCTCTGGAAGCCTAACTTCAGGCATCAAGTAATTCAGATTCTGGTCTTATTAAAACAGCATGAGAAGGGAAAACCAGCCAGACAACTCCTTATAACTATTGTAATGTAAATTAATTCTAGTACTGTAAACACCTGAAGGGTTGATTCTTGTAACATAAAGACCAATAAAAGAAAAAGAAAATGCCTACAATTAGTAAATAGTTTTTTTCTAAAAAAAGGTGATTTTATTGAGTTTTAATATACAGCTTTAATATGTTAGGGTAATCGTACAAGATCTCTCTTGTGTTCAATTTACACATTACAATACAGACGTGAGCTAAAATCTTTTGTTTTAATGTACAAAAGGAATCCAATGTTGTCCACTAGCAGCTTTGAACTTGGCAAGAAAGGTTCTAAAGACTTTAAGTGCAGTAACAACCATACAGAATACAAAATGAATATAAGGACTTTTCGCCAAGGTATATAAACATTTGAAAACAAATGGTGCCTGCTCCACAGGGCAGACAACTAGCAAATTAAAAAAAGTCACTGACCAATGTTCCAGAGAGGGAGGAGCACTACCCTGTGTAACAGTTCTTATAAAATGGCCTAAGAATATCTGTATCATAGAATTTGTACTGATCAGAAAAAAGGTCTGAAAAGAAACAGTAGGCAAGGAACTGAACAATCAAAAAATGACATAGTAATATAAAATATTTCCATCACTATTTAAATGCCAAATTAATCAAGCAATAGAAAAAAAAAAAAAAACAAAAAACAAACCAAAAAACCAAAGCTCTTCTGTTTAAAATAACAGCACTGTTTTTGCTTATTTTCAAGGATACTTTTTTTCTTATGAACACACTATATAGTTGATTGTTTCTTTCATACAGAGTAATGTGTCCATTTGGTCTGTCACTTCAGTGAAGCTGATATACAATCAGCCCATCAGGTCTCACCTTTGACACATTTTAATGCTTTTCTCCCCTTATGTTCGCTACTCCGGTGCCTTCTCTTCTGAAGTTAAATACTTTTCTTCCTTTTCTTTATACAGTGCAGAGTATACGGGCTTAGGATATGGAGATTTTCCTCTACTCCAGTTCACTGTCTAGTTCTGAGTTCAGTGGTGTGCAGTAGTTTGGCTTGTCTGAAGGTACGTACCCTGGGAGACACAAACACTTGTACGAACCTTCTGTGTTAATGCATTTGGCATTCTTGCAGAGAGACATCCTGTTGTTCAGCTCGTTGCACTCATTCACATCTGCAAAAAGGGGACATCAAAACACATGCACCTAAGTTTGGTGTGTAGGTAGAACTCATTTATTTCCAGCATTGTCAGGAGTAGAATATGCTGTATGAATACATTAAGAACTACATTTTCAGTTCAGATCAGGTGGAATTAGCCTGGGTCAAAAGCTGTAACAGATGAGTATTTTATTGGGAAGAGATGGAAGTTATCATAGGAAATAAACAGTGTATTAAATGTCCTTAAACTGTTAGATCACCAAGTCCAAATTCAGCCTAAGCTGCGAAACAAAAATTAAATAACCACTTACAGGTTTTTAGGTGACGACTGAAAAGTGTCTTACAAGAAAGAAGCTCCAAGTTCTTACTATAATATCTGTATTTTAAAAAATAAAATACTTTAGGAGCTGCTGGTGTTGTCAACTAAATAGTTGTGAACAGCGAACTACCTGCACTCAATATTGTGCTGCACTGGCCTGAAATACACAGGAGCTACAACTTTTCTCGCTAAGGAGGCCAGCTTGCCATAAAGTCCTAAAGATTACAAGGCATGCAGGCAGCTTATCATGATACAGCTGGGAGAGCTCAGCTGCGGGTTACGAACCGTAATGGCAAGCAAGGTTAGTACAGACCTTAAACTGAAATACCCACACATGGTCTCTACTAGGCTTCTACAATGAGGGGTGTTGTTTTGCTTTCATCTTCTCACTGACACTTGCCATTCCAGTGTTTTGTTGTTTTAACTGAAGACATAGTCATTAGATGTCCTGGTTAGTAGTTGTGCAGATTTACTAGTTTGAGAGTGAGAGGAATAGACTGGTCTATTGACTGTTCAAATCAGTGAGAATCAGGGGCCAAACCCCACCAAGTGGTTACCTGCATATTTAGGTGATTCAGCCACTCTAAAAATCTGCTCCTAAAATTACTCTTCTACTCTGGATCCAGTTCCATCCTCTTAGCTCACTAAAGCCTTTGAAAAACACTTGTTCTGTATATTAGTGTGAAATTATTGATATAAGTTTAAGCTCATTTCTAGGCTCTTAACTGAACACACCTGCAATGACCAAGATGAATTGAGGAACACCCACATAATTATTTCTGTAACAATATTTACTGGCCTTTGCAGTGAATCAATCAAAGTTGGCATCTTTGATATAATTCAGGTGATCATCTGTAACCCCTTTGTTCTAGCCCCTCCTTAGGTCAAGTGACTGAGTAAACTGACAGACTAACAGAAGATTAAGTAATATGCTGTCCTCACCAACACAAGTCATTTTGGCCATGTCTAGGTGATAACCGTCAAAGCAGTCACAGGTGTAGCCTTCCTGGACTCTTACACATCGGCCATTTTCACATCCATTCAGAATACCACATTCCTCTGCTTGTAACTCCTCAAAGCTGTTCAGAAAACCTGGGTGGAGAAAGAATTGCAAACAAGTAAGTTACAGACCTGTTGAATCAGTATACCCAAATGTATAGTGAGAGTCTGAAATTCTTGCAGAAGTTTACTGGAATGTGACTTGACTTTGTAGAAAATAGGTCAGCTTTAGCAGATCTGCACCATCTGGAGTTTTAAATGCACTGGAAAAGTGCGGTGATATGTTTCAAGATGAAAACTGAATAACTTTGTGAACTCTTAAGTTTTTAATTTGTGTTAAAAATCTATGATTTTTTTTTAAAGGAAACTGCGTAATTTGGTAGTATATTTTTTTAAAGGATAAATAAGTGTTTTCTAAATAGCACCTTTTATTTGAATTGGTATGTGTATCAACCTTTATAGAAACAAAGTAAGAAGTGGTAGTGCCGTTTGGAGTAAAAGTTCCTTAAAACAGTATTCTAGAAAAATAAGGTGTGTGTAGGGGGAGAAGAGATGCATTCTAATTTATCTAGAAGAAAATGTATTTTAAAAAAAAATATATATCGATCTCAACTGCCTTAAGGGAAGTAAGAAGAAATCAGAGACTGCTTTCCTGTTGTGGTTTTGGTTAACAACCCTTTGGCTGGTACTTCAGTTACTGGTGCCAGTACAAATACCTGTAATCTACCAATTGCTCCTTGTCATAATTCTAGATGGTGAGCAGTCAAAGCTGAAGAGTTGTCTTTGTATTTGGTGGCAGTGGTTTGTACAATGCCTTTTGTGCTCCCTGTCTTAGGGCTTTTTTGACAGTTATGCTTTTATGTGTAAGGAAGGATTTATACTTAAAAAAATTATTTGACATTTTTACATGTTCAGAGATTCTTTCTACGACTGAATTGCTCCTGTTTGTCCTGCACAAGTTTTTTGACTAGCTTTCTATTTGTGGAGCAGTGATGTAACAGGACTGCAGATGGCAGCCCATCACATCAAAAAGACTTTTGAGGAAAAAGTAGAGAGCACTGGGGAGTCGTAGCTTTACCAGCGTAATGAGTATATAGCACAGAAATGGAGGGGAAATTGGAGCTGGAGTGGAGTAGAGTAGGATACATCTCTCCATCTGCCCCATAACTAATAAAATTTATATAGTCATCCCACAGACAAACTATTGGTTTATCTAAAATCTGTTTACTGATTTATATTGTTGCAACAGTTGTGATATGTAGATTTGCAATGCTACCTATGAATCTGAATTTCTCCCTTTCCTTGTGCTTGTTCTCCTGTCTCTTTATATTTACTCCATCCTGTCTTGCTTCTTGAGGCCCTCTTTTTTCTTGTCCTGCTTTGCCTTTCCTACTCTGCCTGTTCCGTATCGTCTTCCTTTTAACATCTGTACTGTCATTTCCACTGCCCGCCCCTCCTCCCTTTGACTACATATATTATTTCTATCCTGGATTTTCTCTAGCATGGTGGGGTGCTTAGTAAGGATCACGCTGGTCAGTCATACACTGAATAAATTCTGGAGACACTGAACACGTAATGTGACATAAGTACTTGCTGACATATGCCACATCTCAAGAACATATACAATACATAGGATGTATACAAGTGTACATTGAGCGGGAAACACTACAATCTTTTCCACAAACCTAGTAAATCACATCTCAGTGCAATAGTACTGAGAATATTGAGCAGACTGTCATGATGTATGGTTACAATGTAGTAAGAAACTTGACCAATTTTCATTAGGTTCTCAAGCCCTCTAATAGAGCTTGCAGAGGGCTCATGAGGGTCCTTTAAAGTGAAGATCTTTGCTAATTTAGAAAACAAACACTGCCAAGAAAGGGAAAGGTGCCTCCCCCCCAAAAAAAACCCAGTACATAGATATTTTTAAAATAAAGGCATCATTTATTTGACATATAGAATATATGTGTGTATATATATGCGTGTACATAGACATATGTACACGCATATATACATACTCCCCCTCCAATACAGTATGTTGTAATTTTAACTAGCTAAAACCAAAATATTTATCACTCACAGCAAGTTCTACCTCACAAAATATTCTACTTCAAAACAGCTGGATGGAACCTGGCTCGTAATTCTACTATGTGCATTTGGTGCTGTAGAAGTTGATTACACACAGGTGACAAATACTACACTGAAGTACACGGCTTTGCCACAGGATGGGACGTATTGTCGTATTGCTCATACAGACTGCAGCAGGGTTGCGACTTTGAAGTCTCTGGTGCCCTAAACATGTGGCAACTGTATCTGTTGGGGAATATGCCTCTCATCAGGACAGTCATACAGCTGTGTGTTTTGGGGTTTCTTACACATTTGCTTGCCACTGTATCTGATTCAGTGATAGCATTGGAGCAAGAGACATGAGCTATTAAGTCCCTGTCCCTAAGACAGTGGACTCAGCTTTGGATTCAAAACTGCCAACAATTTTATTGTATTTATTCACCACTGCTTGCAACTTGCAAAGTGCTTCTTTCCCACTCAGTATTTTATCTAGCACATTGATTGTCCAGGAATCTTTCTGGACTTTTCATTGTGTTCAGTAGTTATCATCTGTGTGACATTTCAATTAGACATCAACACTCAGTACTGTTTAATTAAGATCATCTGGATATAAAAAGTAAGACATTTTCCAATTCTGTGTAGAGCTAGACCATCATTTAGATGCTAAATAGAAATGAACTCTTTAACCTGATTTGTGTAGTTCTGTATAAATGTGTAAAGTGCAATGTGCGCAAGAAATGCAGATCACCCTTCTAATAGTGTGCTGTAATCCTCCTGCCCTGTTTTGACCTATTACTGTTGCTTTAAAAAGAACTCCATGTACAGGAGAAGCACTTTGGGAAAGAGCACAGTGGCAACTTGTAGGCCATGTGTATAAAGCACAGGGAGTTACCAGTTCCTTCTGATACCTCCACTTTTCTTCTCTGAAACTGTGATGAAATATGCTGTCCCGGTACCGGGTGGCTGATTTTGAGGAAGATGCTGAGATCTGTAAGCATTCCTCTCACACAAGTCTTAACAGTGAGCTGGGCCAGACCTGTAAAGAACCCTGATATTCCTGAAGTACAACCGAGATGCTGTATACAATCCCTCACACCCCGCTTGGCAGGCCATTCCATCTAGCCCAAAGGCTATATGCATGCATACTCTCTGATCATACTGTGCTGTACATTTTCTCCGTTGAGTGGGAATGACTTGCATGTTCTCCATTTCCCCTGTATAAATTCTGCTGGAAAATCATGGAAAGCTGGCGTGAAGGGATTTTTTTTTTTCTTTTAAACTAAATGCACTCCAAAGGAATCTGTCCCATGATCCAAAGGAAAATTAATTTGTGAGACGGAAAACTGGCAATCCTTTTGACCTTTAGCTGTAAATCTGTTGGTAAATACAAATTTAGTACACTTGGCACAAACTATTTCACTGTATTAGAAATCAGTATTGTACTCTGAGCCCAACTGGACTCTTATACAACACTGGCTCTTGAACCAGAACACCTGACTGAAAGCTAGTGTCATAGGAATAACTAAAACATAAATAGGCCACATTACTCAGAAGCAAACAGAAGAATGAAGCCAGCTACAGGGAAATAATCCAAGTTACAACCCTCATTTCAAGTACTTTACATAACAGAGAAACTTGCTTACGGTCTTCAACAAAGTATGGATTAGTTTCTGGAGTATAGTGCTCCTCGAAGTCAACCAAAGCATCTTGTCCATATGGCCGTCGAGATCCTGGAACAGGAATGTTGCACAGCTGGGCATAATCCTCTGAGGGGGGAAAGAAAATAGGATATAAAACTAATCACACTTGTAACACAGGCTGCATTACATTAGTCCCAGTGAGCTGTGGTTCATATTAGCTGGAAATAAACTTATCTTCCTAGAAACACCATAAATCTGCAATTTCCACAAAGCATTCTCTCTTCAAGAAGAATGTCATTAAAACGTTAATGAGCCAAACACAGGCTATTAAGTCATAATAGGGATAACACCAGGGATAGATTTGAGTCAATAACTGTACAAAAAGTTATGGGTCAGGTTCTTCTGGCTTGCACGAGAAGAAAGAACAGAGAGATGCTGTGTATCCTGCTGCCAATGCACCCCTCTCCAGGGCTAGCTATGGTTACACTCCTCATTCTGGTGGGACAAAGGCTACCCCAGACTATTGCAGCTGCTAGCAGAAGCCACCCCGAAGGAAGCAAACTGGAGCAGGTCAGGCCATATTTCTGGCACCGTCAGCCAACCTGCAGAAATCACAGAATGAAAAATCCTTCTAACATAGCACATGCTCATCTTCTAACTGTATCTTCAAACCGCAGGCTTACGTATGAGTGCTGTGCAAAGTCTCCTTGGCCGTGAACCTCCAAGGGCAAAAGGAAATACACAGGAGAAATAGTTATACTCTGATTTTTTGCCTCTCTCCAAGTTGAAGCAGACCAAGGCAACACTTTGTTTTAGGTGTCAGAGTCTATGTCTGAAATGCTGATGCAGAGTTTGATTTTTCATTTGACTTACTGTGTCACCTCTGTTTCCATTATTAAAATATATACAAGACAATTTATTTGAAAATAGAAACATAGTTAAAATACAGAAATCCAGGTGCTCCTTTACTGTTGCTACAGACTATTTAGCATCTGTTTCTGTGAAGACTGCCTGGTGTTCTGAGAATCGGGCAGAGTGAGGACGGGAAAGAAAACCACCAAAAGAGAGAGAGGAAAAAAAGCCCTAAGCAGATACAAAATCCAAGAACTGCAGATGGTTACAGAGCCAGAAACCTCATGCTGTGTAGAAGTGTCCCAGACAGCAAATAGTTGGATAAATCCAGACTGCCTCTAGACAGTGCAGAGCGCAGCCCCACTTGCTGCCCAGCATTGTCATTTTTTTCACAGGTAGTATCTCCGCCACCTGGAACAGTTTTATTTTGTACTGAAAACAACAAAGTGTTCAAAAAGTCTGTTTGAATTCTGTGGTCAACAACCTGGCTCTCTGAGAGCATTAGACTGTACAGTACAGGCAAAGCTTGTTTGTGCACATCGCAGAACTGTCATGGGTGCCAGTCCAAGCCTGCAGAATGAACTCCCCAGAAAACTTAACAAATCATTGTAAATCTCACCCCCTTCTGCTTCAAGTGCAAGGTGACTTCCACCAATGTGTATCTTCCAGAATATATTTACACACAGTAATAATTATATTCAAACAACCCTCTCCTCTCCCAGATGAAAAAGTACACTGCCCAAGAGAGACATCCTATGGCACAGGAAACAAAGCCAGCATGAGACAATAAACGGCATATAGCAAATGTTACTTACATCCCTTAGTGCACAGCTTCCCAGTGAGATACTACAACAATGAGCATAGTTTTAAGAGCTGTTGTAGGACCAGAAGCACCCTATTCTTCCTTCCCCACATCTAACCCCAAGCAACATCCATGTATGGGGACAGCCAGGTTACCATCTCTGACTCCTCTCATTGTTTTGTGTTGAGCTACTCATTAGGCCCAAGGGCTCTGATACATACACAGAGAGAAGCTGCGCAGAAGTGTAAAAGCACTTTCTCACAGATGCACACAAATGTTCCTGGCAAAGGAAATCTATGCTCTACCACAAAATACTAATTCATCTGGCCTGCGGGGAAGAAACCACCACACAAAACCAGTCAGTGAATGGCAAGGGGACAAGGCAAGCGGGTCTCAGGGATCACTACTTCTTCCACATGAATGTGATCTGATGGAAAGGATTGGACAGAACCTGGACATTGGCTTCTCAGACTACTCAGGGCTAATTTTGCACTTAGTGATACTGGTAGTAGAAACAGTGTTTTTCTTCCGGAAGGAAGCAGTCAAAACATTTGAAAACCCATAGCACTGGAGCTCTTGTGTGCATGAGTTGGGTAGTTTGAAGATTACACAACACTATTTTATATTGCACATTTGCCAATGCAAAGTTGTTTATTATCTAAAGAAGAATAAAAAAATGTTGACAGTAGAAACTTTTTTCCTGCCACACTGGTCCTTTGCCAATCAAGTTCTGGTTGTCTGCATTTTTAGGTCTCGTTATGAGTAAATTAGTGGCTACAAAATGAAGAAGAGCTGTTTTAGGGCATACTGTAAACTTGGTATTTGTTACAAGGAGCTGTAACTATATCAAGGTCTTCTACAAGGCTATACATATAACTGTAATAATCTATTACCCTCTTGAAGTCTGTTAAGCTTAATTAACCATTTGTTAATACGCTCTAATTTTTAATAATTTATACATTATTTGTAAAATAATAAGCTTTAATACCAAAGCTGACAGAGCATTAGTAGTCTTAAGTCACTTTAGAATGTGTACACCTATCCTCCTTATATATAATTTATATCATTTTTTTGATACAAACTGTGATGATTTAGAGTTACCTATAATACTCTCTTAATACTGTATGTTCTGTTTAGTTGTCCAAGCAGCTTAGATTTTCTGTCTTGTCTTTTGTAATGTGTTGATTCACTTACTAGGTGCTCAGGCGATAAACCCAAGGAGAGCAACAGCAACCCACCTAAAAAACCAACAATACACATTCAGGACCAATAACAATGGCAAGTTATCTATGCCACCTTGCTGAGCTTGTCTCTTTTTTTCAGAGAAGAAAAGGGTGGGCAGAGAGGAGAGTACAAAGACTGAAAGGCAGTCGGGGGGCCACATTCTGGAAAGATCACGAGAACCGGCATTTTGAAATAAGGTAAACTAGAGGTTTGGATGCCTGAGAAAAATGAACCCATCACAGTCCCCCTCTGGAGGATAGAACAAGTTACAGCAGGACAGATGTGTACGTACAATTTCTGTTGTTTTAAACTCTTCCCCTTGCTATGCTATGTTCCTACAGTTCAAATTAAAAATAGTGTATTTTGGGTCACTGTGCTCTATGCTGGTCACAGTTTTCCAGGGAAGGGAACTAAATGAACAGAGTGCCATAAGATTTGTGGGTAAAAGCATGACTGGTACACAGAAAGTTGCAAGTATACAAATGGGAGAACAGCATGATATTGCCCTAGGAAGATGGCAGTAGGAGACTTACATCAAGAAGGCTGTAAGGGGGTCAGGAAAAATCTGTAACTACCCCCCAAATGACAAAACATTTTAGTTGCCACAGAAGTTGATACTCACTTTCATGTAAAGTGGAAAAAAAAAAAAAAAAAAAAGACATTTTCTGTAATTCACAATCAACGATAAAACCTTTTTCTATATGGATTTATTTTCTCTGCTCACTCATCTATCTCCTGGCTGTGATCAAGAACTATACAAGCATGGTTCAAGAGACAAAAAAGACATGGTTTTAATTTAATTTAGTCCACATTGCTCCATGTGTTTCTAAGTTTTTCTCATAACTTGCAAATGAAGCATTGAGACAGCTTGTTGTATAACTCAGGATTATTACAGCTATTATAAAAGGAAGCTGATGTATGCTTCCAAAAATGTAAAGGACGTTTTTTAAGTCAGATGTGTGCATATAAAACAAGTGTGTTAGGGGATTACAGCTACACGCACATGCGTACTGGCACAGATGTTAGCCATAATTGGTGATGAAAAGCTGGGCTGATAGAGACAACGCAACATAAATTGGATGGACTGACTGGCTTTTAGGTGCTTGTTAGCACAAGTGCAGCTGTGCAAATGTGCATCTAATTTGCATACACAGTTGTTGTAACTGTGCAAGCCTGTGTGGGCCTTATTTGTATTCTCTAGTCAGAAAAAATACTCCATATTTCATGTATTTAAAGCAAAACATTATATAAAAAAGCTTTTCCTGACACAACCATGAAACAACTGCACCACAGCCAATCCCACCTCCTGCCCATAAAGCAAGCTTTATTTCTGTTCCAGCTCCTCAAAATTGTCACCATCACACACACAAAAAAGGAGCCAAAGCTTCAACACCAAGGCAGTTCCTTCAAATTATTTAAGAATGCAACAGTTTCACCATGGAAGAAATCACTGGAGAGAAGGACAAAGCCAAGAAAGCATTTATTACATGTAGTATATGTCCCTTCCCAACCAGAGGTTCTGGACATCAGTCTGAATTGGTTAAACTTACGCTCTCTCAGGAGATTGCATCATCCATGAACCAAACCTGAAGATATTTCTGTTCTACATTTAGATTGTGCTATTTGACAATTTAGATCGTTTGACATCCTCCATGAACAGATAGTGAGGTTTGTGGTGGACAGCATTCACATATATTCTACAACTCTTGGTGCTAAAGAAAAAGGGAAGGGCACCAGTCTTAAAGGATTTTTTTCATGAGTTGAGAAGGATATTCATATCCTCACATGGAGATACTCTAAATGAAATCACTGAGGAAAAGATCACAGTGGATGTAAAACTTGTTAAAACTGAAGTAATTACCAACCTGATTATTTCAAAACCTCTTGGCAGTCAGCTTTTGTTCCTCTACTAAGGCTGCTCAAATTTCCTAAAACAATCTTCTGCCTCCTACTGCTTGAGGTAGATTGTTAAAGTTGTAGTAAGAGTCAGGTTGTTTCTGCCACAACTTTGCAAATGGCTTTCTGACTCCTTGCTGACTTGCATGTACACTTGGAATGTGAGGTTCCATGATGAAAACCCTTCCAAGGCTATTCTGCACATCTCTCGTAAACTTCAGAAAAAGCACTGAAAATCTTCATCAACAGAAATGAAAGCAGCCAAAAATCTGCACAACTGAGCATAAGACTTTAAATATTCAAGGCCCAATCACTCTAGTATTTTAAGCCCAAAAGATAATCCATTTGTCTG